ACCCACAGTTGTTTTAATACTGAATGTTGAATAAGAGAACAGGTTCAGTGGCGCCACGGATGCCACTTTCCAGTATATTTCCTCTATGTGTTATCAAGTAAGATAGTGTAAACAAGCTTCCCATCATAAAGGTGGAAAGCAGTGACATTTTTCTACTCCGAACTGAGCTGCGGGGTTGTGTAGACATTTCACATAAATCCTCAACTTCTCTGTAGTCACTGGCGTCTTCCGGATTATATCCATTCCGCTCTGAACCAGCCCGGTTTGTAGAAAATAGTGCACTTTTCACAGATAAACCTGCGGTTTTTATTTTAGAGGAATAAGACGGTGGATTTGTTCGCACGACTACCGAAACTCAAACTTGGTGCGTTCAGTCAAACCAAATCTCTTTTGTTATCTTTCGTTTAGTCAATCTTGCGGTGATTAATAACTGTGAGATGTTTTTAACGAACAGCGAAAGGTCGAAAAGGAGCGGTCGGCTTTCCACACCAGATCCTCAATGACAGCTGATTTTTTTTCTCAACATTGTGTTTCCAGCCTAGTGAAAATCGAGCATGGCACGAGCAGATCATTGGGTATTGTGTCATATCAGTTGGAACAGGTTGGAAACTTTGCTGTTACTATGACCATAAGAGTGATTGCCCTATATGACACCTTTGACATCCTCCTCGTTTCCTCATTGACTGTCTTTTTCTCAAATGTTTACACTTGTTTTATTCATTCTTGTCTTACATTTCTCATATCGTATCCACTTCACACATGTTACCTGGTTTTGCCCGATCCATTTATTCTGATCCGATGGTTTGTTGTCCACTGAACATTTTGCACACAGTCATCCACCAACAGCTTAAGCGGTATGACTGACGACAGATCGGCATACCCAATACGTACCCTAGCCAGCGAAGCCTACCAGTCTTAATTCGATGAGGTCCGTTTGATGGTATGAAGCGTAAATAAACTACGGTAGAGGTTTCAGAAAACCGGTGTTTTTCTGTGCTTTTAGTTAGTGGATGGATAAGGCCTTCCTTTCAAAATATGCATTTAGCGTAAAGAGACCTCAGCAATTAAAGTATATCTGTGAAATACTGGTAATTCTTCCACTGTCTCCTTGTACCATTGTCAAGTATCCTGTCAATCGTGCGTTTCTATCTAAGAAATACGTAGAAAATCGCATTTGAGTTAAAGGAATCCGTGTTAGTTGAGGAAATCACTGACCCAATGAAATTTAACCATTAGGATACTGAGGGCCTAGATTGAACCAACTCATGCAACTTTTGAACGATGGGATAGACCCAACTGGCTAGTTGATGTGTGGAGTACAATCGGTAATACCGAAATGAAGCTTTCAATACTGAGATTCCTTGAAAATTGAGTTAATCGAAGGCGGTAAATAGATTGTGTCATGGGATACTTAGTTTTCATAGAAGTATCAGGTAAGTAAACTCATATACCAATAATGATCAAATTTTGAACAAGTAACCTAAATTAACAATTTTCCTTCTTTTTCGTAACAACTATGACACAGTAATAATAATAAACCTACGGACTATTGTTGCCAACATAAACCCTTTTGACTATCGTATTGTTTCCAGTCTATTAATGTTCTACAGACAAACTGTTGCGTCATCCCAGTTATTAGACCGTATCACTGGATGTTCATAATGCATGACCAAATAGGTCAGACCGCTCATTCGGATAAGGACTCCACATTTTCTTGTTTTCCATCTATAAACATTCTGGATGAGAATTCTGTCGAACTTATCTGATCTCATCATGGTGGTAACCGCGTCAACCATTGTCGTGCTTTATGAACATCCGTTGATACCATCTAATAACTGGGATGACGTATCACCTAACCTATGTTGAAATAATGAACTGGAAACAACCAAACCGTCAAAGGGGTTTGTGTTCGCAACAATAGTCTGTTGGATTATTATTAGGCAACTGTGTTGTAGTTTCCATTGACAAACTCAGATTCTTGTTCAAAAATACGATAATCATTGTCGGATTAGGTTACCTACTTGATATAAGTATCCTCTGAATTACCGCCTGAAATTTACATCTTATTTCCGTGCTGTGGTGTCCTGCAATGGATCGTAAGTGCAGTATACTACGAGCATACTACAATGGTGATGACTGGTTGATGGTCACTGCATCACTTGGTGTGAAGAAAAGAACAGCGATGACTGGGATAACAAGACATCAAGAAGAACCGTCAGAATTCACCCTCGGAGGAAGACGATTCAATAAGTTATCAAATCACCATGTATAGGAACTCATTTCACGTAATAAAGAGAATCTGACTGCAACACTGTGGTTTGTACGGATGAAACTCAAGGCTGAATAAGATAAAGAAGTTTCCGTCACAACGATCAGTAACTATTTAGATGGGAAATTGATTACCATCAAAAAGATTCATCAAGTACCAGTACGATGAACCTGCTGGATAATAAAGAGGAGAGAAAAAGGTAATGTAACGATCTGTTTTTAGGTATTTCTTCTTAGATATGTTCAACACTTCCAATGGTACGAGGTACGTGGACATGAGATTATCTGGATTGCTGAAACCAACTTCAACCTATAATGTTCACAAAACTATGGGCGTGCAAAAAGAGGTCAAAGGAGTCGGATATCAGTGGCCAGGTCAAGAGGAATAAATCTGCAGTCCATAGGTGCTATGAATGCTGATGGGTTGTTGAACTATACTCTGAAAAGAGGATCCTACAACTCCGTATTGCGTCTGCAATGATTGCAAACGCTAGTTGATCAATCATTGTAAGAAGAGCACAAATCATATGTGATTGTGTGTGACAACGCACCCTGAAATTACAAACTGGAAAACGTTATTGCCAGAGGAAGAATGAGCATTCTCAGACTTACTCCACATTCTCCAGCGTTGAATCCGATCGAAATAGTATGGGGCATCAGGAAAAGTTACATCAAAACAGAGCTCCGAAATCAGCATGCCAAGATTATGACGGGTGAACCCGAAGGAAAAATGAACCAACAGGATTAGAGGATGGCATGTTTGGAAAGCATTGGTAATGATGCTAAGTCTCAGATCATGAAGGATCATTATCAGCATGCAACTAACCATGTTCATGTACATTATCCNACAGCTATCAAAATGCTTGATTTTTAATACATTTGATCTTTGTCTAATCAATGAACGACTTTGTGAATGGTAGATATAAGTTGGAAAGTTTTATCATTGTTGGAGTCAATAAGCTGGGTGCATTAGATATTACTTAGACTTTAGGGCGCATTTACAATTTACAGGGGAAGTTTATACATCGTGAAAACCGAACCATCATTTAAAACCAGTAGACTAGTTTGGGTAGGTCGGCATTTTGCTTATCTTTAGGGTG